CTCACTAGAAGATGTTTCATGCCAAATATCTAAGCTCTAGCTCTTTGGGTTCTTTAAAAGAAGATATTTAAAGTTTTTTCTTTCGGTTGCCATGGCAACCAGAGTTCTGCATGGAATTAAATTCTTTGAACAATTTTTAAAGGTGACCACCAAAGGAACATTCCTGTGAAGTTTGGATGAAATTGGCTTAGTGGTTTATGAGGAGATGTCATTTGAAGCAAAAGTTTACGGACGGACGGACGGACGACGGACGGACGCCGGACGAAAAGCGATCACAAAAGCTCACCCTGTCACTTTGTGACAGGTGAGCTAATAAAACAGCAAATAACCTTTATTTTATTGAAACTGAAAATTACTTTGTAAACTTACAGAAGCCTTTATATGATTTGTATCAAATCATCCGATGGAAAACAACTTTACAGACATGCAGTATTAAAGTTTATTTCTATGTAAAATGGTAAATAATAAACATAGTTGAGTCTTTCAAAATTGGTGTCATCCAATTATGTAACATGTTATAAAACTTAGTATCATACATTCAAGTGCATGCATGGCAAAATACCTAAATCTTGACTTCAACATTCCAAATGCTCTTTCCACCACCATTCTTGTCTGGCTATGAGCTTTGTTGTACCTCTCCTACTTAACTGATCCAGGGTTGATCTTAAATTGAAATAATAAATTTCAATAACTGTATAAACTAACACAAATATTTCACAATCAGTCCTTTCTATGATAACAAGCTTTAATATGTAAACCAAATCTCAAATAAAGTATGTTCCTGTTTAATATGGTATATAGAAATTTCAAATGCCATGAATACAAACTGATTAAAATCTTGATAGCCAGCCAAGCACTTGAACATTATTCTATTATTTGTTTGTATTCACCAAATTCTTTATTGTTTATTGTTGTTGTTATATGCTATAAATTTATGATGGAAAAAATGAAGATTAATATGTTTCATGATATTGTTATTGTTTTTACGCTATAAATTTATGATGGAAAAAATGAAGATTAATATGTTTCATGATATTGTTATTGTTTTTACGCTATAAATTTATGATGGAAAAAATGAAGATTAATATGTTTCATGATATTGTTATTGTTTTTATGCTATAAATTTATGATGGAAAAAATGAAGATTAATATGTTTCATGATATTGTTATTGTTTTTATGCTATAAATTTATGATGGCAAAAAAATGAAGATTTATATGTTACAAGATGTTGTTGTTGTTTTTTTGTGTTTGTAATAGCAGTCATTAACAGGGGCAACATGAGGTGAAAACTAATTCAAGTCTGTACTAATAACTAGCAAAGAGAATTTCAAACTATCCACTCCCTCAGTTTTTTCCAGAGCAAAAATAGCTTTGGCGAAATTATCAGTTATAAATGTTGTCAATACCTTTGGAGTCATCAAATGAGGGCGAAGAGGATAACCAGAATCCCCTAATAACCAACCCAGATTGTTATCTTCTAAATGCTGCCTGAGACCCCACATATGAAAGATAGTGGCATCATGTGTGGACCCAGGCCAGCAAGCAACAACATCGGTGAACCTATAAAAAAATGTAATTGTTTTACATTACTTCTATCCAAAATTTAGTTCATAAGATTGGGGCGTCCGTGGCCGAGTGGTTACGGTCCACTTGCCCTTCACCGCTGTGGGTTCGAATCCCAACAGGGACTTTGGATTCTTTCATGTGAGGAAGCTATCCAGCTAGCTTACAGAATGTCGGTGGTTCTACTCAGGTGCCCGTTCGTGCCAGAAAAAAATGCACGGAGAGGCACATGAGGTCTTCTTCCTCCACCAGTAAAGCTGAAACGTCGCCAAATGACCTATATAGTGTTGGTGTGAGGTAAAACCCAAATCAAACAAACAAACAAAAGTTCATAAGATAGTGAAGTGAATAATTCTAATAAAGGCAGATAAAGAGAATATTTTACTAATCAAAAATAATAATTTAAGTATAAGACAGTTTACAGCATTTGAAAAAGTAGATGTTAATACCTATTCTTTCTGATAACCATTCAGTCAAAAGAATTGTAAATGTTTAAATAAATTAAATAATTTTCATTGCAAATACGGAAGAAAAAGAAATCTATTGCAAATTGGTTACCTCATGTTATGGTCGACAACAGCTTGGACATTCAGGGCATGGTATCCCTTTCTACAAACAAAGGCAGGTTCCTCTAATCCTGCTGGTGCTATGATTGGGATCAAAGTCCCATCCACAGCACCAACACAATTAGGCAAACCTGCCACCTTGTAAAATCCTCTCTTCACATTTGATATATCTGCTGATGAAGTTGGGAACTTTATGTTTTCCAGTCTTTCATTGATTGAATTCACAACCTGCAAAATTAAGCAATTAATTACATTTAAAGTAAATATACATGCACCTTCAGGTCTTGACAATTATGTTACTTACATAAGTTATCCAGGTTTTTCTTAGTTCACAAATTAACATGTCAGTCAAAAATGTATATATATGAGTCATTGGCCTCAGTAATATAGTGTAGTTAATCATACAAATAAATCAACATTATCAATAATTATCAGGGCAACTGATTAGACAAAATTTGTGCTTACTTGCCATACATGTCTGCTCACTGAACTCCTACTAACTCCATGTAGATCCCCAGTCTCACTGAAAAAATCTCCCTTTGCCAAGTATCTCAAAGTGACCAGAAGCTGAAAATAAACAAATGATGTCACATTCTGTTTAATAGTGAATAGTGAGCAATGTGTAAAGTTTTCTTGTAAGATATATACACTGAACAAAACTTATAAACACATAAGTACTGCATATTATGAGAATTGTGGTAATATGTGTCAGCTGATACAACAAATTATTATATTGTATAAAATTCTACACCAAATGCTGATGCCTTGCATATTTTTCATTAAATACAAACAAAATTTATGACAATTGCAGCTAGATGATACAGGGCAGTTCTAAAACTAAAAAAAACCCACAAATTTCATTAAAATTGTGTAACTGGTTAGGCCATAATCTACAAGATGCAATTGATTTTTTAAGCTACCTTCCATTTATTATATATACTTATAAATGAAGATATTATGAAATATTGAAGAAATAAAATGGGTACTTTTTTATTTTCCGTATTTTACTGTAAAATGTATTTATTTTTCATTGTAGTGAAACTTATTTTGTTATTTTCAATTGTGCCTGGCTTTGCATCTCTTTTGTGGGAAACAGCACATGTACCTATGGAAGGAGGGTTTTTCAAGTTTTTTTAAAAAACTTATATGGGGCCTATTTGCTGCACATACATAATGAGTTTATAAACAAAAAGATAAAATAAAACCTGATTTTGTGTAACAAAATCTTCAAAATTTATAATTAGGAATAAGTTTCATTGTATTTGCATTTATCTCAAGTTAATGATACAGTGTTCTGTATAATATTTATGAATTTGCACTTATATGTTTCCATTTATATGTTTCGCTTATATGTAGTGGATTTTTTTCACAAAACGGTGAAAGACAAGAATAACATTTTTTTTTTCTGGGGGGGGGGGTGGGGGGGGGGATTGTACAAGACACTTCACCCCTGACAATTCAACTCGAGCCCCATTTAAATTAACATACGTAAAGTAAGTTATTTTGTCAGTCAAACTGTCACTGAAATTATAATGTTATAATAAATTTTAGAAAGAAATATATCGTGACCATTTTTATTTGCTATATCTGGAACATACGATATAGTACATCCCAGGCTATATCTTGTTTGCAGAAAACAATACTTTTATTTCATTACTGTAAGTCTATACATTGTACATTTGTGTACATACATGTATTGATAATATAATAAAAATATTTTAAAACAATCACCATTGTTTACATCTCATCTTCATTTGAAAAGCACAAAACAAATTTGGGTGGAAGGGGTGTAGTATCTCAACCAGATAATGAAATATTTCATAAAATAAGTGGTAGGCTAAAGTGTCTGCGAAAAATAACTTAAGATGAAGTGTCTAACACTGTCTAAGGGTGGGGGGTACTGTCAATCCAAGTTGTACACATAATTAAATTTATAAAAAATTATAAAGGGAGGTCGAGAATCACGAGGTAAATATACTATAAAGGGTAAATATACTATAAAGGCAGTGGGAGTTTGTAAATATTGAGATAAAAGGATATTTTTCACAAGACCGTGAAGACGACTTGTCAATTGTGACACAAACACTGTAGCAGTAAGTTTATAGGGTCATCGCTCAATGTAACCACGTGGTCAGTTGTTGTATTTAGCGAAGGGACAGCTTTAAGGCTGGAGTGCGAATCACCAGAAGAAGTGATAGTAGAAGTACAGAAACTTTGTTGAGAGATATCGTTACTGTGCGAGATGTCATGATTGGATGGAATGGTCGAGACAGACATATTTGTTGCAAGTAAAGGTACGTCTGTCGGTTCGCTTGGGGCAAATACCTTTTCAGAAAGGACATTGGAATCAAACGGGTAGATACCACAAGCACGAAATCCACTTTTAATGTTAGATGGGATGACGGTGCAATCCCATGCTGTGCGAAAGATGGCGGGAAATGTCCACTTATTGATTTGGTGAAGGGGGTTTTCCTGGAGGAATTCCTGACATTCTAAATTATACTTCCTGTTTAGGGGACCAAAGACTGATTTATCCAGGGGTTGTAGATGATGTGTGGTGTGTGGTGGTAAAGAAAGAATGTGAATGTTTTCTTCCATTGCCCTTTTAAGGATAGCTAAAGTTTCATGTGATGAATGGCCATCTAGTATTAAAAGCTGGGGTCTAGCTGGGCCGCAGAACTTGATGAAGACATCGTTGAACCATTGCTCACCAATGTTATCATCCATCCACCCGTTCTCCTGGTAAAACCAGCGAGATTCGGGTGGAGCGGCTGATGAATTAAATCCCAGCAGGGACCTTTGAGTTCTTCCCTTTACAACAAACATGGGTGGCTGTCTTTGACCAGAAGCATTTACGCAAGCCATAACCGTTATATTACTAGATTTGTTGGATGTTTTACCAACACAAAGATCCCCTTGGCAGCAACAACTCTGACGGGCTCGTGCTCAAAGTTTTTTGCCATTTCATCGCAGTTCCATATCTGCGATGGCTTATCAGTTAGATTTAAATCGTGTATGATACGTCCTGGAATAGAAGAAAAAATCAAAATTGAATATGGAAATCCTATATAACAGTAATCATAGTTCTTTTCTTGATTTATAGATACAGTGTATGATAACATATGTTTTCATTTACAATAAACTTTAAATAATAACTGCACGTCTTTAGAATGAAACGGTCTTTTTTGGTATGTGATAAATAGAATATTTAATTTGAGTAAGTTCATAACTGAATTTATTTAAATTGTTGAATAAAATATATCATGCGAGCCTTTGGCGGGTATGTTATTATTTTATTACTTTCCGAAATGAGTTGCAAATTTCTTCTGCGAGTATTTATAAATAATAATAACGATATTAAAAGTACTTACTTTTATATTGTATGTACTTAATAATTCTCGCGGAAATTATTACGAATAAACGCCGGAATGAGAAAAACAAACCTTAATGTCACTTTTTTAAATTGACATATTGAATTCTTATAGAAGGACAATTATTCAACTTTTGAAATAAATAAAAAAAACTTGTCAAAAACGCATATTTATCTTTAACATTTCAATAATTTACTTTTTCATTGATAACATAAGTTACAACGTGAACGTCTTTTGACGTAATTTGTTAAATGACGTCAAAGGTAGTGTTCTAGCTCATGCCGGCGTTCAATTATGTCATGACCTATATAAAATTGACAAACCTAGATCAACAAAATATTTTCCGATCACTTCTCTATTCATCATTCTTGCCCGTGTAGAGGATAATCTCTCCGGCTTCCTGATAACTAGATCTGGATGGCGACGCCGGACCCCGTCCCACCAACCTTTTCCAGCTTTGAAGTTGGGGAAGCCTCCACCTATCTTCATCCGCTTGGTCAGAACAAGAGTTCTGTTTAGGACTTGTTGCCTGGTAAGCCCAATGCCTCGACGGGCTGCCATTTTTACCGCATCAACAATCTTGTCTTCAATGGCTTTAGGTATATGGGGAGGGCGGCCGTTAGGGACATGTAATTCGTGTTTTCCGCTAATTCTATCTCCTATGGTTGACTTTGGTACATTGAAATGCTTAGCAGCCTGTCTAATAGACATACCCTCTTTCACGGCATTAACAGCATCATCTAATGATGTTTTATTATAAAGTTGGGTTTTACCCCTCTTCGTATAAACCCACTTTCTTGGCATACTGAAAAAGGGTTTATTATTTTATTATAATATTCAATATTGTTACACCGGATAAAAACGGCAAAGAGAAAACATTCGTGTTTGTGCGTGCTTGTTAATTTCTTAGGGGTTTTGAGGTTTACAGTGTACGATATCTGTGTATCTTTTCTTGGTGAAATATCCATGTACGAGGTTGGTATTCATATTTCATGTTTTTAATCATACTTAGTCCAGATAATACTTTGTGGAATCAAAAGTTAACAATTATATTATGAAACGCATTCATTTCTTGAGTATTACATCAATGACACTTTTAGATGTGCTTTGACCCTATATGAGACTAGCTTTAATTTTTCTGGGCACGGTTACGACAGGTGCTGGCAGGTGTTAGACGTATATAATCATTGTAAAAAAGGAAGTGTCACGTTTGTCACTCTGTCCAAGGAATTCAATAACTTATTTTATTACACACTCGTGCCAATTTTGCGACTCCGTAAAAATGGTATTGCACGGCCGTGCATATTTTAACGAGACTTCATTAGCGTTTTACAAACATTGTGAAGACGCGCTGAATGTAAGCGTTATACTATAGACACGTCATTTTTGAATTGAAAAATGACTCTTTTTCACTTTTAAACGGTCTTTATATTGGGTATGAGATAAAAAGAATATTAAATTAGTGTGAGTTCATTACTGAATTTAGTGCACTCGTTGAATAAAATAAAATTATGCTCGCCAGAGGCTTGCATAACATAATTTTATTCAACTCGTGCAATAAATTCAGTATTGAACTTACACTCATTCAATATCCTCTATGTATTTTCATTAAAACAGAGATTAACTTGCCTATTGAATTTTATAACATGTGTTAAGTCTTTTAATTTAACCAAGTGAACACTTATTATAAAAGAAAGGATAAATTTGTCTTGTCAATAAGATTTAAGCAGTTAGGGCATTCTTTTACATAATAACTAATGTGGCAACACTTTAAGCAACAAAACAATGAACTTATAATATAAAAAGGCATAGATATATTGTTCAGTTTTAATAATTTCACTATCGTTTTACAAGGTTTCCTCTTTAATGGTTTCCACCAACAGTAAGATGTGCTCATCTTTAATTAAACGGCCAAATTTATGCGCCAACCAAACAATACTCATATCATCTGTAAAAAGATTGTTTCTTATATCCTGAAGAGATGTTGCCATAATATGCACATATAAAGGGTTAGAGTCTAAGATTTCAATCATTCTTTTAAAAAGAACACATATCAGAGGGTGTGAATACACAGTTTCTTTTAAAAACAGGTCTTCCAAATCGCTAAGCAGTCGATGTTTTTGCTCCACATTTTGCAACCAACATCCATTTGATTCACGGAGACTTATTATGGACAGAATGTTCACCCTCCGTGCCATTTTTACCGGTTTTTCTACAATGTGAAATAAATTTTATAAAAATGGATTAGGGAAAAATCATTAACATCTACAAATAAATAGGTTTTAGCTTTCTTATGCATGTCTTTTATATTCTGTTGCAAATCAATAATGCATATTAATTGAATTGAAAAAAACAACAACAATAAAATTATTGATCTAATTTGTGTTTCACGTGACATGGTTAAATCACATGTCCGTAGTTTTCAGGCATGCAAAAGAGACGGGAAAGTTCGGACACTTTTTATTTTTTATATTTTGAGGGTAAAATCACTTTCATTATCGTAATTCTGACTTTTATTTTAAAATTAGAACGATATTTTTCAAAGTAAATACATTTATACAAAGCTCCAATGCATGTATACCTTGGAATTTAATGATGCAACTGCAGGTTTAAAATTCGCGCTTAAGCAACTTTGTGTGACGTAAGCAAAGGAAGTGGTGGTCTCTTCAATACGCATGCGTTGTTTTGTCTCCATGTGATTGGTCAATAGTAAACGTGTGCGTAATCAAAACACCAAATGTACTTGAAAAACACGGAAGTTATTCGCGCGTGATACGATGACGTGTGGAAAAAACACCTGTCTTTTTAAAGACATGTCCGTACTTTACTGACTGTCCGTACTTCACCGGACAGACCCTACGGCGGCCATATTTACGCACTGCACGAGCAATTTACGCCAGCAATAAGTGACCGTAACTTTACGTTTAAACTTACGCAAATGCGTAGCTAAGAAAGTTTAGTGAAACGCAAATAAATACGTAAGTATTGCTTACGCAAAAACTTACGTTCAAACTCGAGTTACGATAACGAAATCTTAAAATGCAATAGAGCACTTCATCACATTCTCGTGTCCCCGTAAAAACCGTATTGCACGAACATGCATATTATTTTGAGCACGGTCATGCATATTATTTTGACGTCCTATATGCATAATTGTCACTGTGAGTTGTAGATGAACGGTTATATTAGTTATAGATAGTTTTATTCTGGTAAAAAATACATGTCATAAAACAACTACAAATTCAATGTCAACATCAAAGAGATACATGTAAACATGAAAACAGGGTG